GGGTTGTATGGAGCCAAATACCCAGCCCTCACCCAAAGAAGGAAGCAACACCTGGCCCCAAAGGTTATGTTGACTCCAAAGGTGTATGGGAAATTCCTTTTCCCCTTCCCCACTTCTCATCCCTGTGCTGTTTGCCAGCCTGTTCTGTCCCAGAGCTGTCATGGCACCAAACCCAAGTGTTCTGGTAGCTGTAGATGAGAGAGCTGGGGTGGTTTCTCCAGATGACCCAGCCTAGAAATGTGCTTGAAGGTTGGCAGGAGCCAGCAGAAACTGTTTTCATTGTTGAATCCTACAGAGAATTTGCAGCTGCCTCCTGAACCCACATGAAATGCATCCAGACTCTGTGAAATGAAGGATATAAATGGGGAGAGGGGAAGAAGAAACTGTTTGGTATAGTCTGGGTTTACCTCTGGCTGAGTTGGAAAATGGTTGCCAGAAGCCTCAGGCCTTTATTTGTTTTCTATGTGCTGGATACTTGGCACCACAAATTTAAGGCCAGTAAAAGCCATTATGGAAAAAAAATAATGGAAAATGGCAACATTTTCTTCTACAGGCTTGAACAGGAGAAGTGGTTTTGAGCCTTGCAGTGTTTAATACTCATAATACTGCCCTAGGCACTGAGGGTCATGGTTAATTCCTGGTCCAGACCTTTTCCCCCTTCCTTTATCAGTTACTGCATCGTTCCTCAGCTAAGCATGGATGCTCATTCTGAAGGGGTGCTTCTGCTCTTCTTCATTGTGAACCTGGAATCAGGGACCCCCAAGAGTTGTGTATTTTTTCCAGCTGGGGTTTAGCACTAACATTGCATTTGCTGACTAACAAACATGATCTTTCTGTTGTTCCTTCCCATGGCATGTCCTAAATCCACCCTGGCAGGTAAACCGCATCCGAACGAGAGACTTTGACTGCTGTCTGGCCGTTCCCTTGATTTCAGAGGCTGGAGATAAGCTGGACCTGGTGATTAGCAGGAACCCCTTGGCACTGGCTGCCAATGCTCCCTCGGAGGGGAACAGAGAGCTCCCGGCACAGGTGCCCCACAGCGCCGAGGTCAAGGCGAGTGTTCAAACACTCTGAGCAGCAGGAGCAGAGCAGATGATGCCTCTGCTGAGCTCTTGTGGTATTTGGGGTGTTATTCCTGATTTTTTGCACTGGTATTTGTAAATGCTCTGTGTACTATAACCTGCAAGTGGGGAGGTGGGTCTTCAGTGAGCCTGTAGACTGCCAAATATTGCTGGGAAGGTCAGAGCTGGGTGTGTGTCTGGGGCTGTGGCAGTGATGGCAGCAAACTGCTGACAGGAGGAAGGAGCATCCACAGCCATCCTCCATGTCAGGGCAGCTCCCTGTGCTTCTGCCATCAAGTGTGCAGGGTCCTGCCTCTGACATCCTCCTCATCCTGAAAGGCCTTGGCCATCCTACAAACACACATGGTGCTATTATATTCTTTGTTTGCTCAGTTAATCACATACAGCAAGACTGAAATGCCTTTCCTTTTATGTTGTGCCCAGTTCCATCCTTTCAACACTCCTAGCAAATCAATTCCTGCAGCCCCTTGCACTGCCAGTGCAGGGCTGTGGAGAGAGCCTGTTAAAAGACACTTCAAAATATGCTTGAGAGTGGCTAAATGCAATTCTTGTGCAGAAATTGGTATTTCCAGCTGTCTCCTGCCAGCCCTATCCACACTCCCCACTATGTCTGGCTCACCCTGTAGTGGGATTAGGCACCTTGTGTGGCTGATTCCCACAAGCAGTGCTGTTACCTGTGCTCAGTAGTGACTACAGAGTAGAGGCCATACCCAAGGCTAAAGGCCTTGAGTATCTGCCTGAATGCCCCCGTTTGTCTGAGCTTTACAGAGATGTCTTGCTTGCAAACTTGGCCTGTGCCTGGAAGTAAATAGAATAGTGCAATTCCCAGGGCTGCCCCTGATGTTTTGGATCAATGAAACCTTGGTGTCTCCCCTGAGGCAGAGGAATGACAAGCCCTTGGTTGGGTGGGGGTTGTGTCCTGTGTCCCCGTGTGCCCCTTTGCCTGTTGCTGGCCTCTTGTAGCCCTGTGGCCGCTCCCCGCGTGCCCCAGAGCCCCTGGCCCCACATGGCAGAGGGGCTGTGAGGTTTGCATTGCCTGCCTGTGTCCCACATTGCACTTTATGATCGTGTCCGTGTCCATGTCCTGCGGCCGGCTCTGCTTTCCCTGGGAAGGCCGTGGCCATGGAGTCCAAGCGCTCGCTCGGTCAGACACGGCAGCTCCAGAGCCCACTGCCCCCATTCCCTGCTTGCCCTTGCAGTTCCTCCATCCCCACCTGCACACCAGGGCTGTGTGGGGGAGCTGGGCGGGTGTACAGCACATGTGTGTTGCTCTGCTGAGCCAAGACTTGTCCTCGCTGTCTGTGTGCCAGCCCCTGTGCAGCACAAACGTATCCGGGTGTTTCTTCCAGGCACGGCCCCATCCAGCTCTTTGTCGTTGTAGCCATTTTCTCTTTGAGTATGCAATATCCCATACCATTGCTGCCACAGCTAGATAATGTGCCATAATTGATACTGTGGAGCATTGACAGTGCAGCCTAAAGTGTTTTTATATGCAATATCCTGAGCAGTGGAAGCTCACTGGGGCTTCTCATAGGTTTTTATTGAAGACTTTTATTAAAGGCTTAAAAAAAAAAAAAAAAAAAAAAAAAGGAGGAAGAAAAACTTGGTCCTTGTATCCCTTCCTATGCATTTTGAATGATATGAAGATGAAATGCATTACTTAAATGTGTATTTTTATCCATATATTAGAGTGTATTCCTTGTAAAGTATTTTTATATGCTAATTTTCTTATGTATCTATGAAAGCACAATATTTAAAAGTACAGCATTTCAAAGAATATTTTAGTCCTGTTTTGGACCTATTTGTAAATCTCTGTATTTAAATGGGATTGGAATGACCTTGACTTTTTTTTAAATTAAATAAAAGCAAATGAAATGCATTCTTTTTGGCTTGTGTTGCTTTCTCTCGAGGATGATAGTGAGGCAATGCTTTGCTTCCAGCAACATTTTAACTTGCCACGGGATACTATTTGTAAGACACCTTGGAGGACAAGGAGGAGGCCACTGTTTGTAGGGCTACCAGTGTTGTCCCTTGCCACCCACCATAAGCAGCAGGACTTGGGTTGCTCCCTTCCCTGTGCCCATGGAGACTGTTTTGCTGTAGCTATTAACAGGAAGAGCTGGAGATGCTCATGCATGTGTTTCCAGCACTGCCTGCAGCTTTTCCACACTGGGAATCTTGGCTTAAAGCTGGGCTGCTCCGTGACGAAACACTGACGCAGCAAAGCCCGTGGCAGCCGTGGCGTGGCAGCATTTGCAAAGCTGTGGTTAATCCCTGGGGATGGGTTGGAAAACTCCTGGAGAATGATGTGCTGGCAGGAGATGTCCCATCTGGTGCTCAGAACCCTGCAGCTCCAGCGGGGCGCCTTGGGGATCTGCACGGTGGTAGCCAAATTACCCCACCTCTGAAACCAGACATCCCAAGAAATGACTGCCATGAACCCAGGACACAGCTCTTGCGTCCATGCATGGAGGATTTCTTCCCTCTGCTCCAGGGTGGGCAGCACAGGCTGGAATGTTCCCTGGATAAGGCCATAGGGAATCTCTGCTCACCAGCAGAGAGAGGGTGAGCTGGGTTTTACAGCCCTTCATGGCCAGTGGGTAATGCAGGAATTTTCAGAGACTGAGCAGGGTGTAGGAATCCTCCTACTTTGGGGAATCATTGCCACATAAACAACCCTTTTCTGCCATCTCTGGCTGCCCTGCTGGGGTGAATACTGAGGCCTTGCCAAAACCATGGAGCCAGCCGAGGCACCGGGGCTGCAGGAGGCTGAAGGAGCGCCCATGAAACGTCAGCCTCGGGGCTCACTGTGTGTCCAGAGGTCTTGTGTGTGTCCCAGGGAAAAGCTTCGAATGGAGCTGCTCCCTGGGATGTGCCTCAGTGGCCAGCACATCCCCCTGCTGATGTCACTTCTCATCCCATGGGCCTTGGCTGATGGGAGCAGCTGCAGCCCTGGGCAGGTGATGGCCACCAGGGCAGGTAGTCAAAACCCTTCAGCAGCAGCTTGTGGCACTTAGTGGCTTTTTAAATTACCTGCTTATTTATTTTGACCTGAGAAACACTGCAATTGCTGTCTGTGCTCTTAGGAGGCTGCTTAGCCCAGGCAATGCAGGCTCCTCTGAGAAGAGAAACCCTGACAAAGTCCTCAGTCACATCCAGCAAAATAACCAACCAATCCAAAAAACCCCAACTAAAGACAGCTGTGGGACTGATCCTGGGCCTGGGGTGCTGGAGGCTCAGCAGTGATACTCAAAGGTTTTATTTTCACAAGGAGTAGCCACCTACGTGCTGTTTTTTTCTTTCCCTATTTCAAATCAGGACTTCAAGAATGGACACTCTGGTTTAGCCTCCATCTGTTTGACTGAAGAGGCCAAAGGGGTCAGTGAGGTTGAAATAACCAGTCCCATTCACCAGAAAAATAAATGTTGGGGTGGGTTTTTTACCTTTCTTTTTCTTCCTACTGGGCTTTTCTGACATATTTGAACTCTCACAGTAGTGGTGCCATGCATGGGCTGGGCACGGGCTGGTGAGAAATGGTTTTGTTTTGCATCACTGGGGTTTTTTAATTTTGTTTTTATCTCTTTGATGTATTTTTTTGTCTTTTTTTTCCCTCACCCCCTTTTGCTACTTATTAACTTGTATCCCATGAATTTTTGCATTTTTACCCTTCTGAGTCTCTCCCCATCCCACAGAATGAGGGGGTGAGTGTGTGGCTGTGTGTGGGGCTGTGCTGCCAACCAGGGTGACACCATGGCAGATGTGAAGTTAGATAGATAGTGATTACACATATTTCATATATATATATATAGTATTTTATAAGGGCTAAAAACCCCCACACCAACCCCAAAATAAGTAATAGCTTTAAAGGAAAAACTGAGCTACTCAAAGACCGAAAAAAACCCCATCCAAGAGCATAGCTGGTTTATAAAGGAAAGTTTTATTTTCATTTATAAGGTGATTACAAACTCATCTAAAAAAGCAAAGATGACTTAAAAATATCCATATACATTTTATTTATCTAAAAAGCAAAACAGAAACTGCAAATTACAAACATTTACCATATACACAAAGGCTAGGGGGTTTTAGGATTAAATTACACTCCAAGGTCTTTTTCAAATACAAATATTCCGTTTTGGAACACACAAAAAAATGTTTTAAAATGTTTAAAAAATATTTTTAAGGTTTTTTTTCTTTAAAAAAAGTTCAGATGACATTTTTAAGGAGGCTATCATCGCCCTTGCCTCCTCGCTGCATGTGCTACTCATTATCACATTACTGTAGTCACAGTTGCTAGGAATTTAAATAATTTTAAAAAACACCACTGTTTTTTAGCCAAACACATCAAACAAGATGGGTCACCTCTTACTATGTGAAGTCCCTGGCAACATTATCAGGTAACAATCACAACATTACACTGGAGAAAAATAACATCCTATTGAACAACGAGCACTTCAGAACAGTACTGGGATGCTGCGATGCTGAGAGACCAGTGCTGGCTTCCAGGACAGGAGCAGGTCATGAACTAACTCAACTTGCCCCCTCAGGTTTTGTTTGTTTTATCAGCCTCTCAACATAATTTTGCCACTGTTAGTTTTTTTTTTTTTTTAATTTTTTTTTCCTTTATATATTGAAAAAAAATTCAACTCTTTCTAACATCTCAGCTGCAGAAGCAGGTACATTTAGGAACAGTGTGTATCGTGCTCACTGTGCTACAGGGCTGAAGCCTTCTCCCACAAATGCACACACACACACAGCACATGCACAGCTCCTTAGCATCATAGTTTTATTATTTTTTTTTTAAACAGCTATATTTTTCCCATTATTTCTTCTGATTCCTCAAGTCAGGCCACGTTTTCTCTGTGCTGCAAATGTGAAAGTGAGCAGCACCATCCCACTGTGCCCTGCAGAGCCACAGGGAACAAGACTCCCAGACTTGCCTCTTTAAAATTATCTTCAATTTACTTTACTCCTAAACTTGTGGTAATTAAATTCTGACACTTCTACTGATTATTTCAAATGAGGACACATCAGCAATACAAAAAGGCTGTGTCTGCCATTCAATTGCCCAACATTGTGAGCAGGGTCAGGCTCTTTTCCAAGCACAAACCCTGTCACCAAAGTTTTCCATCTTTGATGGGGATGGGTGGGTGATTTGTTTTCCTAAAGTTTTCAACCTGCAAAATTTTGAGCTTGTCCCTGTTTTCTGTTGAAATGGTGTCTCAAGCTATTTCTGCTCTTGTTTTAGGACATGGGTAAATTGAAATCACCAATTCCTAATGACAACTGGAAAAAAAAACCCACACAAAGAATGTGACTTTTTCTGTTTATTTTTCATAAAAACAAACAAATTGAGATTTTTATTTTTTTTTCTGGAGAAGCATTGTCCATGTACACGTTTCTTTTGGGCTGGCAGAAAAGAGCCACAATCTGGTGGAGGGTGTGGGGCTGGTTATATTCAGGCAGTTTTCCAGTGGGTGCTGGTGCTGGTTATATTCAAGTGTCTCTTGAGCAATCTTTCCCATAGACTCAAATTGACTGCTAACACCACAAGAAAATTTTTGTGACCAAAATATAAAGCTCAGGGCACCTCTTTTGCACAAGTTCAAGGGTTTCTTAAATGTCAAGTGTCACCAAATCAACTAAATACTTTGTTTCTTAAGCTTATCTTTGATTATAAGAAATAAAACAAGCTACCAGGGTCTGACAGTTCCTGACCTTTGCTCATGCAAATATACAAATACACAACTACACGTCAATCCTAACCACAAGGCTTTGGATGCTGATTTTGGAGAAAACAAGTCCAGGGCAGCTGCCTGAACCCACACCACACCCAACCTCCCATGCCAGGAGCCATGTGGTGCCTACAAGGAGCCAGGAGAGCTTAAAAATCCAACCTTAAGGCTTCTTTGGAGGGGGCCATGGTCCAGGGCTTTGTTATTACTTTCCCTCTTCCGCCACCCCCGTTTAGGAAAGACTGTTTGGACACCCTGGCAGGTTGGCTCTTTGCAGGCAAGTGGTGCCTAAACCTCCTCAATCCTCATCCTGAACAGCTTGGCAAGCTTTACACACATGATTTGCAGCCTAGGAATAGAAGCAATGTCCCCACTGTGTGCGTGCATATGAGGGTGGAAGATTTCATCTACTAGTCTACTTAAACACAGATTTATTTTTATTCTTTTTACTGAAAGTGAGCAACTTCCATTGAATCTCCTTGGAAATGATGTCAGGGTCATCTTTCTTCCAAGCGTACTTGAGCTGCTTAACTAACTTGTCCACTGCATTCAATGCACAGCTTATTTAACATTTTATATACATTATGCCTCCATGAGTGATCCTGCAGGGACCACAAGACATGGAAGCTAATAATCAGTTATTCAAAAGTGTTCAAATCCTTCTCCCACAGCTGGAAGTTCGCCAGTGATGCAACAAGTGGGAGCTTTGAACTCAAATGTGAAAGCACAACCTCAACAAAACAGAAAGTCTCCTTAGCAAATAAAAAACAGACCAGGAGGAGACTTGGAAAAGATCTATTGAATGGAGATGTCCATGTGCCTTCAGATCTACTTGAATGCTGAGCGAAAGAAGAGGAACCAGGAGCATCTGCAGGTGGGAAAGGAGGATGAACACAGGGTTGGGAACAGCTGCAGGAGGTGCTGTCCTGGTGGCGACAACAAAAGCTCTGCTGATGTTGTTGAGGTTTTCTTGGTGTTACAGCAACTGTAAGGCTGCACTATTTTTTTCCCCCCTTCTTTTTTATCATTTCGTCCTCTCCCCAAGAACAGCAGTGAAAATCAATTTTGCTGAGCTGTTTCAGCAGATCATACCTAACTCCCCTCCACCCCTAATTCCAGGAGCTGTGCTGCTGCTGCAGGGTGGCCACCAGCACTGCTCTAGATGGCAAATAGGGCTGCCAGGCTTTTGTATTTTCATTTACTACACAAGAACAAATCCATTGTGGACCTACTATCTCAAACTTGAAAGAGGACTTTTCTAAGTGTGTGGATCTGTTTGGACCAGATGAAAAGGAAAACTATAGATGAGAAGGAAAAATAGAATAATAACAACAACAACAATAAAAAATCAGTTCTATTTATGAAATCATACTGTTTAAACACTGAGATACAGACTACTGGTAAAGTCCCTTAGAATAGATACTGATTCAGAGAGATCATCACTAGTGATAGGTGAACTGAAAAGGTTTGGAAAATTGAGAAAAATAAGAAACAGATTAGAAAAATTTCATGGGGATATGTTCCCCTTTACATTTCTACTATCTCTTGATTTCAGTTCAGCTGGAAATAAATACTGCTGAAACTCTGCTGTTTTCAAGCCCAGAAGACCCCATGGATACAAGGGTACATGAAACATGAAAAGGTGTGCGTGTTATCTTGGTTTATGCTGGCTTAAATCTCAGGGATCTGGTTCCAAAGATCTCATGCCAAAACTGCACTGTTTTCCCAGATCCAAACCCGTTCATCTATAACTAGTCATGATGCTTTAACACAGAGTTCCTCACTTACACAAAACAGGTAAAATACATCATAAGAGTATTACTTGAACAAGTAAATATTGGAAAAAAAATCAGTTGTCTTTGCAGTCAAAATAGGTAGAAAACACAAACTTTTTTTAAAAATTATGTTTTAATAAATTTGGCAGAGGATCATATTGAAATGCAAATTAATCACCAAGAAAAGTTTAGAAATCTGATAAAATTGTTAGGTAAAAACCCCAAACTGTAAAAATGCAAATGTGCTCACTGGAGCTCAAACCCCAGATAAAACAAGAAAAATTAAGTACATTTTTTTTTTGGTTTTTTTTTTGGTCGGGGGAGGGAGGAGAGGAGAGGGGAACTGTTTTCCAGAAGCAATGATTTCTTGGCTCTTGGTGAGCCCCAGCCCTCCCTTGCAGTTGTGCTGAAGAGCACAGCAGGGCCAGGGAAGCTGACACAGAGAATCTTCAATGAGGTTGTTGCATATGTGCGAGACCTTTTCACTCGGAACATGGAAGCGACTGATTTGAATGGCACAGTTTGTACTGAAATGGGGCTGGGTTCTATTCTCTGGTAGTTTTATTTTGAAAGGTGTAGTATTTATCCCTCTGGTTCTTCCCACTAAGACTCTAAGACACTCTCCACAACATGGGAGATGCCTAAACACCCAGCTGACTTGCTGGTGACATCTTTGATGTAGCCAAACCATTTTTTTTCCCTAACTAAACTTGTCTCAGCTCTATAGCACAAAAGTAATGTGCAAACTATATAATCTCAAACACAGTTGTATGACAATGTATATATATATATATATATATATATATATATATATATATATATAAAAGAAATAAATCAAGCATCAGTGTTTCATCTGCACTCACAAAAACCATTAATTTAGACCCCCCTAAACTTCTACTTCCTCTTCACCCGTGTCTGTTTACTGCAGACACTGACTGTAACTCAAAAACGAGAGTCCAAGCTGAAGCCCGCTAAGAGAGTGGTTTTGGTTACATTTCCTTGCCTTTGATTGTTAAAAAAAATAAATTTGCCGTATGCATATTTTTGGGCACATTGGATGAAACCGACTGGCTCTCAGAATTCCTCCTGTAACCTTGGGTGGTTTCTACTACTGGCCCAGCAGGTGTCATTTTGATATTTACCATTTCCAGCTGCGCAAAAGTTTCCTTCAGAACTCTCATAATACAGCAACCAGAAAAAAGAAAACACAATTCTACCATGGCAGGTTTTTTGGCTGCAACTCTGCTCTCTGTTGTAAAAGTATCTATGAATTCAAACTAGAAGGATTTGGAAGTTATGGATGCAGCGATGTTTTTCTCTAATAATTATGAATTAGTTTGGTCCATCTCTTAGTTTTAAAACTCCCCATTACAGGAAAACCAATAAGTTAAGAAATGTTTGTGCTGCTGTGGCCAGTTAGCACATGGGCAAGAAAAAATGAAATAAAGCTACTATATAGGAATGTTAAGAACTGTTTATGTTCCTGTTTAAATAAGTGACAACCTCTGCCTTGACAGACTAAGCTTACAACAGAATAAGCAGATAAAAACTCTGCTTTTTTCAAGCATTTCTTCTAAATACCTTTGGATAGACTACCTGTGGTATCATAAGAAAAAAACCTCTCTCCCTCTAATACAATGCCCACATGACAAGGCTGAGTTTTGCCAGAGAACCCGTTCCCAGCACAACCTGCTCAAGTTAAAAGGAAAAAAAAAAAAAAAGAGGAAAATGAGAAAAAGGCTTTTGTCCATGTTTTGGAAAGTTTTCAGGGATCCAATTCCCCACAGAAACATTCACCTGCACTACATGAAGTGGAACCCCCATTTCTATATTTCTTGTAGGGATTTCTCTTCACTTCCCAGTCTCACCTGGAATGGTACCCAATTCCTTCTGACCAACACAAAATATTTCAGTATTGCGTGTTCCCTTTGCTTTAATTTAAATTCCAAAGCGCCCTGTCTCTTCAGCAGATAAGAATCATAAATATGTTTGCCACCCTCCAGCCCCCCTAAAAATAAAATAAAATAGAATAAAATAAAGTAAAATAAAATAAAATAATGGGTTAATCAAATAATGAGCAAGGAGACTGGGGCCTCTAGGTCCATTACTGCTATTTAGTAACATAGGACAAGGAACTCACTTAGTCCTTTTGTCTGTTCCCCCAACAGCAATGATCTCCCCAAAAAAATAAATAAATAAAGCAAATCCTGGTTACTGAACTTGGAAAAGCATTTTTGAGATACATGGATGAAAAGCACCTGTTTGCTGTGTGATATTATTATCATCATTACTATTATTATTAGCAACATGTCTGTTATCAATACCAGTTACACCAGGTGTGCGTTTTGTTACACCAGGTTTTGTTCCTCCTGTCAGGGATGAACTGGTTTGTGTTCACCTCTGGGCAGTCAGAGTCCAGAAGTGATTCCTTTATTTTCCTGCCTAAACCAAAGTCCAGATGAGGAAGCAAACACCTGAAGCATCCAGAAATCAGGTGCTGCTTTTCCCCTCTTGGCTGCTCTGTGCTCATCCCTGCTCCCCTGGGGACAGGCTGCCCTCCCAGTTTGCAGAATTCAAGTTTACACCAGTGCCACCACACCAAAATACGGTTTGCTGGAAAACTCAGGAGCAGGTACTCAACCTCCGTGCTCACACACAGACAGCAGGCATTTAAGTTAAAAAAAAAAAAATCTCAAAAATTTTAAAAACAACAAAAAAAGACTGAACCATGCCAAATCCTGCATATGCCTTCCTCACATTCTCCTCAGTCAGTGTGACAGGGTCCCATTGCTGTCCCTGGGAGGTACAGCCACAAGACTGTTCACACCCAGCTTCTCTGCATCCCTTGCAAACTCTCCACTCCAGCTATTTGCCTATATCCTTATCCAGGGACTGCACTAAACAAAGCTCTACCCACTCCCTAAAGTGACCCTGACACCTGTCGTTTACCACAGTTGAACCAGAGGGTGGAAATACTACACCTTTGAAAATTCTCTTGAAACAGCATTTTTAAAAAAAATGTATCTCTCAACAGAGCTCCTTTTGTGTGTTCTGTAGGTTACCCTGCTCCCAACCATACCAGCACCTAAAATTGCTTTCTGAGACTTGAATGTATTGCTGGTAAGACAATCAATTCAAGTGGTAAAGTGTATAATATTTAGAGATAAAGATATATATATTTAAAAAAACCCAATAATAGTAAATCCTTGTAATATGTCTAGTCTGATATGAAAGCTCTCCCTCTACAGAGAGACGTCTGCTGTGATTACCTTACAAAATATTAAAAAAAAAAAAAAACACACACAAAAAATAACTTTCTCTGTGAGAAATAAAAATAAATCCTAGTGCAAATATAAAGCTCTGTAAACCTGGTCCTATGAGAATCTATGGTTAGTAAACGGCAGTTAAAGCAGGTTTATCCTCTCACAGAGAGAGCTCACATCATGGTTTCCACAATGATATGAGTTGGCTTGATCAATCCGCCATTCGAAGTTCCATTGGGGCAGAAGGGGGTGCCACTCTCCGTTTCTTTGGACCACCGATTCACCTCCTTGGGGGCAGCCACTGCCTTTATCCTCTGCAAGAGAGAAGGAGAGCAGAGGTGAGATGAGCAGAAAACCTCTGTGGAGAGCAGAGGTGAGATGAGCAGAAAAACTCTGTGGAGAGCAGAGGTGAGATGAGCAGAAAAACTCTGTGGAGAGCAGAGGTGAGATGAGCAGAAGGCCCATCTGTGCTCTGTGCCTCCACGTCCAGGACTCAGCATTCCAAGGACAGGGATGGTGGCTGTGGGAGATGTGTGCCTGTGGCTCTGTAAGGATGTGGGATCTGTGCAGCCTTCAACTCCTGCTCAGCTGCAGAGCCTGATTTGAGGCAGGGAAGTCAGACAGGAGAGAAGTCCAGGCATTATCCAGCGTCCTGCACATTGGGCTTTCAGTGCTGCAGATGATGTGCGTCCTCCTTCCTCATTTAGAAACAGCTCTGCCTCTCAGCCCAGCCTGCACTGCCAAGTGGCAACTTCTGTCCTACATCTCAGCTCACAAAGGAAGAATTGAATGGCATCTGACCAGTGTTTACTCTCCTTCCTTTCCTAACATGGTCTTTGAGCAGTGTTTTGGCTACTTTTAGACTTGTCTCTCATGGTGACAATGGTGACAATGTAGGCAGGAAAATTAACACTTATGCCCTGGCCCCAGCTGAAAAAGGCCATTAACACTTGGACGAAAACAAATGCAAGTGCCTGTGCTCTGAGAAATGTTTGGGTTTGGTATTTTTTTAAATCCTATTCTCTTTTTTCCTAACCCAAAGTGTCCCAGTTTCTTTTCCAAGAATACCCTGAGCTGCATTTAAGATCAACTTGTTAGGCAAAAACAAAACTAATCTGAAAACTTTGAAGAGAATTGCTAAGTTTCATGCTTGCACAGCCTCTAAAAACTTTCCACTGCGAGAAAAAAAAATTACAGGAGCCCAGACTGAACTGCAAAGTGCAAGAGATTTCCTGCAAATCCAAACCTGAGGGAATCTGCACTGTCAAGTCTTAACCAGACACAAAGTTTTCCAAATACCAGGGCAATCTGGATCCAGTATCAGTTTGAAATAAAATAAACACAAATTAAAAAAGCTAAAAAGTGAAGCCTTCTGTCAAGAGGGTTTGACTTTTACTTAGTCCCTCACAGTGAAGGGCATGCCTAAGAGCCACATAATCCACAGGTGTATCTGAATTTCCTTGAAATTCAATGAGTTTTCACACAGCTGGGTTTGACCCAGGTCTCTCCCTCTTTATCTTGCTTCCCCGGCAATTTTCAGGATGGTGCTTCTGTGTCCCTGGGGGCTGGAGAAGAGAAACCTGAGACTCAGAAACACCCCAGTCCTTGAATGTTTGTCTGCACGTGGAGGTAATGATTTGCCAAGCTGGAAGCTGCACAAGTGGGACATGAGTAAAATCACTTGGTGTTCATCTGAGGACAGAAGGCTTTGTGTTCTCTTTCTACTGTTTGCCCAGAGGACAGGTGATCTTTAGAAGTCTTATTTGCCTTACCTGTGAAAGGTGGCAGTTTTCCAAGCATTACTTTGTGCAAAACACAACAAGTTAAAGCTCCCTTTCTTCTCTAGACAGACCATTGGTTGTTCTTACCTCAATGAGTGACCCATCTGACCGAATGATGCGGATGACCATCACCATAGGGATGCAGATCATGGAGGAAAGGGCAAGAACCCAGCCCAGGCCAATTGCCCAGTCTGGGTATGTGTAGACCTTGTTGTAGGTCAGTGGTTTATACTTGGCCAAAGAAAAGATAAAGCACCCCTGTGGATGAGAAAGGAAAATAAAATGAGGCTCAAAGAAATGCTTAAAGCAGTAGGGCTGTGGTGCAACCACTGGCCCTGAGGAAGACAGGCAGTGAAAGGAAGGGCTGATGGATACCATATGTATTTTAAATAAATGGGGGAATTGTTCTTCCATTTCAATCATTGGAAGAGCATCTGCATCTGCTTATAGCATCTGCTGTGTGATGACAGAGTGCTATGAGATGGTGCTGAACAGCTGCAGTACACTGCCAATTCTTCTTCAGGGCTCAACTATTTGCTGTACACTGCAAGATTACCAGGATGTTTTTTCCACCCAATGAAATACTTCAAGCCAAGGTCTGCCTCAGACTGCTGAAGTCTTTTTATTACAACAGCCTAGCAGTCCTAAGTCTTAAAGTAGGGACTGCTCTTTGGAGAGTGAGTTTTCTCTTAATGCAGAATTTTGCCAATCCTAAGAAAAATACACTTAAATGTAGCCACCTGCAATTCGTGCAGGCACAGTAGAGCCTAGAAAGCTGTCATGTTAACAGCTGACATCTGAGAACATCATGTCTTTGAGAAGTATGTTCAAGCCTTCAGCTTCTCTTTGCAAATTGGCCTCTGATTGCAACAGCCTTCCCTTGAAGAGGAGCAGTAAGAAGTGGCTTAGAACTGCCAAGCATAAGACTTGAAAGAGCACAGGTCAGGACTCACCACGCAGAGAACTGGTGTGATCACAATCCAGCTCCACTTCATCCAGGGACCAGGTCTGTATCCAATCATATCCTCAATGGCATCATAAATATTATCAGCGCCTGCAAGAATCAAGCAAATAAAAGCCCTGTAAATACTGTAGGATTAAAGCTATTTTCCTAGGCTCCCAAAAGGGTATTTAAAAGGAAAATGAGTGTGTCAGATGTAGTCTTCAATTGCTTCCCACAGCTGTGAAGTCCAAGATGATTTTCTTGAAAAGCTTAAAGGTTGGGACATCTCTAATCTTGCCCTCCCCTCATTATTTGGCTGCAGGAGTGTAATGCTAATCGCTCCTGCCCCTGTCACACCCCCTCTCCTCTCTCCAGACTCTCTCTGAACTTCCCAGAGGGATCATCATGGGAAAGACTTGACAGCAAACAGTGCACCTGCTTCTACAGAAATCTGACTTTGTTTTGCTTTTCTGAGGGGATGGAATTCATGGAGAAACAGAGAAATAACCAGTCCTAATCAGCACACATCTGATTACTCCCCAGCCACAGCTCAGGCAGCTAGAGAGGCCACTGTCAGACTGTGGTGCTTGGCATTGCCAAAAGTAATGGGGCAGAATATACTTTCAGCTTTCTTTTTGTACTTTGTGTTTGGTTGGCTTGTCCCTGCAGACATTGCAGCTCTGAAAGGAAATTCTCTGAGAGACAAACAGAAATTTTCACAGCTGGCCACACTTTCAACTCTCACCTCTAAACTTAACACATGAAAATGCTTAATTGTGCCCTTATTAATTAGCAATGGAAGAATACTCATTTTTTGTGGAAAAAACACTGGAGTTTGAATTCATCCCAGATGCAAATTTGTCTCCAAGAGGTCAGGGCAAATTTATATTAATGGCATGAGTCTGTTGCTGAGAAGAAGGCTCTGGGGTAGCTGATGATTATATATTTGGCTAAAGAAATTGTCACTGATCCATCAAAAGTTATGAGATGAAAGGATTCTCACTTACCATAAACCCAGGCTACAGCAATACATTCAAAGAATGCAACCCACAAAAGGCATACACCACTAGCTGCATAGTAGTCAAAGAGTTGAAAAACATACATGCCACCCTGTAAAAGAGAGACACAATTGGTTAAGATCCCACAGGAAAAAAAACCCCAAGAGTTCAGGCCCAGCTCCCAGTAACATCTACCAACATATCCCAACAACTCCTGTCCAACAAGAAGCAACATCTAGCAAATAGGTAAAGTAAATGTTTGGCATTACCTTCCCCAGGGAATACACATGTTTACTACAGGAATAACTCCAAACAAGACAGTGATTAAACAAAATTAAGCCACTTAATATAATCTAGTGAGACACTTAAATCTTTCCTTCTTACAAGTATTTTAGGATGGGCATTTAAAGAAATAAATGGTTGCCTCCTAACATTAACACCTTAAAAAGACTAGATATGAAAGTCAGCTCATCAGGAAGGTCTTAATTTACTTACTGAGTGAAAGGCCCACTTTCATGAAAATCATTCATTTTTTGTTTTATAACTATATTTATACTCTGCAGTTAAACTCTACTCTTACTACCTGCACCTTCACTTGAAAAACTGTGGGGTTTGGGCATCTTTGAAACAGGTGCTATTTTACCTCCCACAGTCATGCTCTTTCAGATGTTTTTAAAATGTCTTGGATTTTATTTTGAAGATAAATATCACAACAGTGCAGGAACTGGAACATATTCCTGTCTTGTTTATACTAGAATAAACCCAGTGATGTTTAATTAATTCAAATCTGTGTAACTAAGATAAAAATCTCTTTCCCTGCATGCCACTGGATGGGTTCTTAAAGTGCTCGGCTGAAGGTCTCCTCTAGGTTTCATCATTTAGAACTAGATGTTAATACTCATGTTGACTGGTACCTGAGAACAGATTGAATCCAATGAGGTTTCATGTTTCTGTTCCTGTGACTGAAAAGGGAAGGGACATATAACTCCCATTCAAAATGCTTTCAGATGTAGGGATGAAAGATGCTCTGTCCATCTAAAAGCACTTCTCTGAGTCGCTAATTCTTTGCAGTCTCAATCATAGCTAAAATTGGCCTGGAAAATGGCTAAAAAAGAAGGCAATTTGCAGCACTGGTGCCACTTACCTCAGTCACCATAGTTAGTCCCAGAAGATAGCTAAGGAAACACACTATAGCGATGAAGATTTCCCGTCGGTAACCCTTCCTTAGGAAGGATGGGTGCAGATCAACTAATGACGTGATCTGTCCTTCAACTTCAACAAACTAAAGGGGGAAAACAACAGTGGAGAAATGACTTGAAGATTACCTGTCATGCAGTTCATCCAGGCTCCTGCTTAAACAAACCCTCCCCAGCAACACCCCAGCCTGGTGCTCTGTGCCACTCTTGATAAGAAATAGAAACCATCCCTTTGTAACCCCGAGGCTGGAGCGTGGGGGTAGATTTCAGGTTGGAACAAGCTTCCAGAATTTCTTTTTATTACCTAGAAGGCTTATGAGCTAAAATGGGGCTTTGCAAATGCAAGCCACAAGGATGAAGGAGGCCTGATGACAGGAAGGCACTTATGTGGCTTTTATGCTGTCACTGCTCCAGATGAACACAGGATGTATGCTAGAGAAGAGGCAGAGAGAAAACACTCAAAAAAGCCCAAGATAGGCGAGTACCTCCCAGACTCTGATGTGCCAGGAAACATCACAGATACTGGTAGGTTAATTCCACAATTTTATATAATTCTGCTCTTGTTACTGAAAATCCAGCCAAGAGAAAGCAGACTGTGATGTGCAACAGCAGCTCTTCTTGACTGAACGTGTCCTTCGTGGAGCTGTGAGAGGAGTGTCTCTGACTGAGGCTCTGGGTACTTCTGCAGCAATAATGGAGCTGTTCATACAGTCCACATTCAATGATCAGGCAAACTATTTGCAGTTGTAATCCAAAAATGAAGCTCTGAATAAATGACTTAGAAGTCTTTATCTCACTTCAGGATAACTATGTTTATGCTTCCTTGTCTTTGCAAAACTATACAACTGTGTAACTTGAGTTAAACAAATAACCCAAACTGGATTTGAATAAAAGTTGAAAGTTAAATAAAAACCAGATCTTTCTGCACCTGGAGGAAAGCAACTACTGAACTTCCCCAAGTAAAAGCATGGAAGGGATCTTGACTGATCTGTACTTTCAGCCTGGCCAGGTACAAAGGCACCAAGCTCACTGAAGACATGAGGATATGGACTGGAGGCATCCATCGAGGCTGCCTCTGTAGAAAAGATCTTCACTTTAAGTAGACACATCATCTTAACTAACTTATCATGGGGAACCTAAGACAGAACTTATTTCAGAAAAGGCTGTGTTTTCCTAACTGGCACCTCATTGCTCTTACAGCACCCAGAAATGCCCTATAACAACCCTACCCTATTTCCTGAAGTTCTATTTTGGAAATACAGACTATTCTGCAAACAGACTTTGTCCTCCACCAAATTTTACTGCCCTCTGTCTTGTTACTTTGACTTGTGTAAAACTGGTTTTCTTTTTAAATGCAACCCTTTCCTTTGAGCTGATTTGATCTGAAACTGCTCTGGCATTCCAGAAACCTGCTTGACTGCACTCCAAAAAACCAGAGGGGTGGAGGAGAGAAATTAAGCGCTCCAATTAGTTTTAATCATTCTGCACAGTGAGGAGCTTTTTCAAATTACTAGACAGCTTCCAATTTGCATAAGCATAGGACTGCTGAACCACAGCATTGGGTACTTTCACATTTACTTAGGAGCAATTGAGAGTTGCTCACTAGAGTTCAAAGATTAAGCCATAAAGAGCAATTTAGAGCAAATGAAATTTTAAAAAAAGTCAGAGATTAAGTACACAACAACTAGGTAAAAATCCAATTTACAGAGCTCTCCTCATATGAGAGACAATTTGGGCTACAGAAACATTTCATCCTTATGAATACATATATATATTTAATCTTAGTGACTTTACATTTGAATGCAGAAAACTTTGGCAATTGCGAATGTGTAGTTACTGCATAATCCCTGGTCACCCATGTTTCCTTGTAAGTAGACTATTTAGAAATGATTTACAGGTTCCTTGGCAGTATTTAATCCAACATTCCTACAACTAACCACTGGGAAAAATAACCTAACTTCCTGACTGAACTTTTTGATTTTTTCCATGCTCACTAATTAATAGCAGTGTGTGCTATAAAATTAGTCCAGCTGGAATCTGAGATGCTTTCTGGCCTGTTTGGAGGTACTGAATGCATGCTGCTGACGTGAAAAGTCAGCAGGATCCCACATTGCTCAGCACCTCCAAGCCCAAGGCCACCAAAAAAGGCTGCAGCTTTGTCCTCTCGCTGTTCTTGAAGCCACCCTGGATACACTGTACAAAACATTATGTGCCTTTTTGTACCTCATGCTGACTTTGCTTTTCTTTTTTGGCACTTGGCAACCGTCAAAACCCATACTCTTTGTAGTTATTAATTGTTAGTTTTTTAATGATGGTGTATACACCCTGCAGGTGTTCACAATGGCACAAAGGACTCTGTGGAACAGACTACTGCAGTCCCTTATGTTTTAAAAGATTAAGCTTTTTTTCCAAAGTAAGAAAATACTGTGACCAAAATGGTGGTGTTTTGTGGCCAGACTAGGAGTGAAATTTAGGTTAGGGAGTACTGCCCTAGTGGGATAGATCCCACTAACTCTTGATGACAAGAACTTACTGAGCAACACAATATTATGAATCAACAGTCATAGATTCATCAAGTGCAGCCCCTACATGAAAAAGCATTTAGAGGTATTCTTGTGTTAATTCATGCCTGTAAAACCAGCTTTTCTCAGTGAGCAGGCCTGACACAGTAAGTCACACATCCCTTAATTGTACTAACCTGGCTATCCAGTCCAAGCAACAGAAGCATAATAAAAAAAAGGATTGCCCAAAAGGTGGGCAGTGGCATCATGGACACAGCTTTTGGGTAGGCAATGAAGGCCAGGCCTGGACCTAGAGAAAGAGAAAATAGGGAGGGGGGAAGGGAAGGGAGGAAAAGTAGTAAGTACCAGCTCTTTGGTAAAGGTAGCCACCCTCAAACTCAGGAATGCCTGGTTCCGTTCAGATAAATCCAAACGCAGCTGGAAATACCAGAAATGAAACAGTTTGGCTCTTTTATCTGAAATCGAAGCACGCATGACTACAGCAGAAACCACGGGCAAACCCCCAAGGCCAGTGCTAACAGATCTCCAGTTTTAACATCTGTCTCAAACATGCCAATAATGGAGGTGTCCTACACTTGCCCTGCACGGACACAGAACAGTCTTGGGGGCTGGGGGACAAGGGGTGACCCAAGGGAATGGCAGAATCCCACTGCTAGCCCACATGGTCATGATGAAGATGATGATGATGAAACTCTTTTGCATGCAGGGAAGGGGACTCTGCTGTAAACATTCCCTGGTGCATTCCACTAGTGCAACCACTGCCTCCCTCTGTATGCAACCTCCAAACCCTGCATGGCTTTTCCAGACTGGGGTTTGCACTCCAAGGAGTTTGCTCCTTCTCTTCTGCAAACCCTCCCTGCTGCACTGAGTGATCAGGCTACTCTTAATTTTATCAACTGAAAATTGAGAAAACAGCTGTTAGGAACTGCTGGGGTATAAAATCACTCTGTGTAAAATTGCTTCCCCATGCTGTTACACCACCTGCCCCTACCCAGGCCAGCCTACATGGACATGCCATGGTGACACTGAGCATGGCCACCATCAGCCCCAGCTCAGGCTGGGCTGCAAGTGTAGGAGGACCACTGGGGCTGTGGCTGAGTGCCTGGGGCTGAGTGCCCAGGTTCTCTGCTCTGGAACCCAAAGTGTGGAGTACTCCTCCCTAGGTGGGGTCTAGCCTTCCCTGTGACCAGGTGTCACCTCACTCGCACCCACACATGGAGCACAGGCACAGCGCTCATCTCCAGAGGCATCTTCACCTGGAGCCAGATCTGTCCTTTGTGAGAGCTTTTGTGGAGAGAGGAAGAGCCCTCCACCAGTGGGAGACAGGAACACTGGCAACTCTGCATTTATGGCAGGCTCTCAGAGGAGATTACGAAATTTGGTGAGGCTGACAAAAAATTCTGAGGGCAGATTACAGTTCAGAGTGAAACCAGGAATGCCTGGCTCATCTGCTTGTTTACTTTGAGGAGCCTTCAAAGTGCCAGTTTTCAAGTGGATTCATGTAATTTTCAATGGGAAAATGATTTTTTTAAAGGTGCTGCAGTGTGGGGCCAAAAAAAATCTTATCTCTGATGTGTACAGAAAAATCTCTAACACTGCTCTTCCTACCTCCCACTTTTCCTTTCCAACAAGAGAGATGGAAAAAGAAGCAAGAGAAACAGGTAAAATGAGATGACTTTTTTCAAACTAAAGAAAGCTTTCAGTCACTGAAAATATTTGAACATAAATAAATACAAATTAGCCAACAATCAAACAACTAATTTTATTTTAATGAAACACAACTAAGATTTTATACGACAGAAGATACCAAAAAATTGGTGAATGTCTCAAATTTTGGGGAGCTTTGCTTTTTTTCCCCCTTAATTCAGTGGATACAGTAGCTCGTCTCTGAGGGAGAGCTGCTAACAGATGGCATTTGCAGCTGATCTGTGCAATTGATGAGACAGATGTAAAACTGCTCTCCTCAATTTTGCTGCAATTTGTATGCTTTGGCCAGTCAAACTGTTCTTGCACTGTGATACCAACTAATACCAAGTGCCCTAAGCCCTGAGTTAATTTTGATTTTCCTTTGAAACTAAGTGTTGAAATATAAAAAGTCCATGTGAAAGAAAATGTTCCTGGCAAGCCTTCAACCGAAACATAAATAATCTAAAATTTGTATTTAATTTGAAACCCTGTTGTTTTGAAGAGTGTTTTGCAAAAGTGAAGTACTTGTGGCTGCTATTAAAAGCCAGGGAGCACTGCTATGATCCCAGCCCACACACTGGCCATTTGCCATGGGGTGTTGTGGCATGGCTGGAGAGCTGCAGAGGCAGAGACCAGGCAGGCACCAGGAAACTCAAGGCATTATTGTCAGACAAGCTTAATCTGAGTTTGTTTGCAAATGGAATTAAAAAAAAAAAAAAAAAAAAAAAAAAGGCAAATAGGCAAATCTTGTGCTGGTGTAACAGTGCTACAAATTGCATGGGTGGTTAAAGTATTTTTTCCAGCCAGAGGCCACATGGATTAGACAGGACTCACTATGGTTTTGTTGAGCCCCCATTGCTTTCCTCTCTATCTTTAAAAGAATTTCTGAAAAGAAAAAAATGTTGTTTTGTTTAAAATCTGCTTTCATTCAGGAGTCAGAAGTCTGAGTTAACTGTTGAGTAAACCTGCTGAAGCCAGCGAAGGCCAGCAGTGAGCAGTGCTTTCAGCAGGAGCCAGCCCCAGCTGACAAGCGTGTCCCAGGCACATGGCACTGACACTGAATTTGGCACTGGGAAAAAATGTGGCCATGAGATTCTGCGGTAAGCAAATTTGTTGATGTTCCTGTGGCTTTCAGGAGCGCAAACAAATGGTGTCATGGATAGGGCAGGAGGAATTTAACTCGCTGGGCAGAGATGGGGTCTCAGCCCCGTGGACAACATCTTCTGCCAAGTGCTGCAGCCAAGGGGCAGCACCTCTGCTTGCTTTTTCCTGACCCAGGGGAGCAGCTCTGACCTTGCATCAAAAGAAACCAAAAAGGGCGAGGCCAGAAAACAGATGCTCAAGCATCTGCTGAATCCACCTGTGCTAAGAAAAAGCAAGGAAAACTTCTCTCAGAGCCCCATGCAGGTCCTGGGACACCCATACTGGTGGGACCAAATGTCTTCAGTGGCTCTGCACTTATCTCTCTGAGAAAAACAGTAAGAAAATACATGGGAAGTGGTTTGGATACTTCTGGATAATTTCAGTAGTGTTTACTGTCAGGTAAAAATGTCCCCTAGGACTTAGCCAAAGACCAGCAGTGATGGGCACCCACTGCATGGTGAGCCAGTTGCAATCTCTGGCCACTAGTGACATGGATATAAAAAAAACAGTAGACAACTAAATATGCAAAAAAAATCAAAAGCCGAGTTCAGATGCTACTCCTTGCCCTTGCTGTCTCTATAATGAGCTATTAAACCCTCCTTTTAAAAAATGCTTTTTGAGATGTTGGAAAAAATATTTAAACACTTAGTATCTAAACACTAAGTGAGTAAATTTATGTTTAAAGATTACTTAACAATCCAGTGTTACTATAGAATTGTGTAATTCTAGAAATGTCAGGTGACAGGAATGTAGCTGCCTCTATCAGAGATATAGTAAAAATTAGAATAAATATTGACCAGATAAAAACCTAATGTACAAATACTTAAAAATACTACTCTTGGAATTGATCCACCTACGTATAAATAAAAAAATAGGACTATTTATGATTCATTCAATAGGATTATTCCCTTGCTTCCTGTTTCCAAACAAAGCAATCAACCTCCAATCAAAATAAGCATTATGGCCAAGATTGTTACTAATTGCACTTGCAAGGGCTATGCCAATTGCAGCCACCCAAGAATCCAGCGGTGCCATCAATGTCATTAGTTTTTCATTAGCCCTTGTGAAGTGAGACATTTTTCTTAAAGACTTAACTCCCAGAGCCATGTGATTAGAAGATATATTGACTTTGAGTTTAACAGCATGTTTGCAGAGGAAAGCTTTCCAATTCTGTGCAGGTGAATTAAAAGTGCTCAAAAAATCAGAAAGAAATATCAAAAGTGCATTCAGGTGACATTGCTATTACTAGAATCTGACTTGCTTTAAGCCTCATGGCTGTCAAAGCCTGATCCATTATTTTTCCATGGTAATTCCCAACTAATCTGTCTGTTCTATGTTAAAACACATGGTTACACCTGCCCTCGTGGATTAGAAATGCAGAGAGGAAAAATGTCATCTGTTTCGCTTGAGATACAGTCACAAGCTATGAGGATTGAGCTTCTACTTCTGCATGTGCATAACTGAATGTTAGTGGGAAGGACACTTCTGAAATAAGGGAGGAATCTAAGTGTACATCAGGTTTCGAAATGGACTTTGACAGCTCTGTCAACCTCACACTGATGCTACAGAGAACAAGTGCAGGATTGCAACACCTAGAGTTCTTGTAGGTGAAATGGTCCACAAAACCCTGGAGATGGAGTTCTCCAACTTCTCTTGCCTTTCAGTGAGATTTGGGAATGTATATGTGTGCGTCCCTTTAAAAGGCCAAGATACTAATCCTATTCTAGTGCTGTGAGCAAGCAACACTAGGCTATAAAAATACATAAACACTGGCAATTTGCATTTGAATGAAAATAAAGGTAGTCTGAAAAGAAGGATGGAATAAATTCTTGAATTAATGACATTCTGGACCCTGGATAATGGTGTAGTTATCTTAGTTCTAAGCTCAACTCAAATGGATTAGCATTCTCTAGGAAATGTGTTTGCTGCCCTGTTAATCAAACAGTACAACCCCGACTAACCCTCACTACTCTAGATTATAGCCCAAATCAACAACGTGCTTATTTTTTCTGGCAATTATGGGAAATCTTGTTCTGTTTTATCACTAAGACGTTAGCTGATTGAGTCTGCAGAACTTTGCTCACACGCTGGGCGGCAGTGCCCACCACCACTGCCACCAACACCATCGTACCTGACTCTGCCACATCAGCAATGTTCACCCCTTGCTCTTGTGCCATGAAGCCCAGGACGGAAAAAATTGCGAAGCCAGACACAAAACTGGTACCACTGTTCAGGCATCCCAGCAGCAAACAGTCCCTAAGTCACACATATGTCATGGAGCAAGTTAATTAAAAAAAAAAATTAACCCATTGTCCCTACTTTATTTACATCATTTAGCTAAAACACTAAACCCCCTTGGATGGAAACTTGCCTATAGCAGTTGTATTTGTACTTGTTGTAGCTCCCCAGGGAAGTCATTGCTCCTAAGCAGATTGCATATGAGAAGAAGATTTGTGTCCCTGCATCTATCCAGACCTAAAGAAAAGACAGAAATACTGTTACTACCAGCATTGTTGCATTGCAATAATCAACACAAACACACAGTTCAAACTAAGCAAAATCAACAAAATAATTGTTTCCATTGAGAGTGAAAGCTAAAGGATCAGGGAGAAAGGGAAAGAGAACAACACATTTCATGTTTGGCTTTCACAAGGAAAAGAAAATTGTTAGCATCAGAACCCAGAACATGATCTCTACAATAGTTCCTGTTTCCCCTCCCCAGAGATTCTCAGTATTTCTAGTTTCTTAGTCATTCAGCTGATCTTTCCTGTTGGCGCAGCAATAAACGTGTTTCAGTGCAATAGGAAATGCAGAAGTATTTGTAACATTGCTCATTTCTCTTGTAACTCATTTCAGTTAGAGTCAGCCGACAGATTCCTTAAACTGAAGATGTGAAAAGCTTGAGAAACAGGTTTGTGAATTTGGTCTGTTTATTTTTCTAGCTTTCTGGTTGTTTTTGTACCTGTTCAAAAGCAAGATAAAAAGCCACAGGGGTGGGGGGAAAACAAGCAAAATACAATGCACTTTATAAGACACATATCTGATCTTGGTCTCATGATTCTTTGTCCTGATTACTTTAAAAAAAAACACACACAGAGTGAAATAACCGTACACTATGAACTTCTTGGCTAGTAAATACATAGCAAGCTATCAAAACACACCCTCTGAATCCTATCTGCTCTCTTCTTTCTGCAAATTGAAGACTGCTAACACCAGTGGAAACCACCAAGGAGGTTGAGTAAGTGAGAACATAGACTGAGGACCATTACCTCCTCCCTCCCACCATCACTTCCTAGCACCTTGCTGGGAAGACTGAGGAAACTACGGTCTCCTCAGAGTGATGCTTTTGCTAGACTGTGGGCGGGAGCCAGCCAGCTCACATGAACCTCTCCTACATTATCTGCTGACATTCTGGTTAGGCCAACAGTAGATCATAAAAATGATAGGGTCCCATAAAAGAAGATTAAATCATAAACTATAATGTCTCCTGTGAAAAGAGTGTCTTGTAAAAGAGGACAAGACTAGACAATGAACCAAATTTTTATGATATTTCTTTCAATTACCCTTTTCCTACTTCAGTCCTTCAGTGACCACTGGAGTTTTATTTTAACCTAATGCTCATTAGAAAGAAATAGCAAAGACAGATGTTATTTCCTATTACTGTGACAAACATTTTATTATTTTCAAAGATCCCTTGTTTTCTTTTCTTTTTTGAGGGCGTATTGTATTTCTTTTTCACTTCTCACATGAACACTGTTGGCTAAAACAATGCTGAATTTGCTCAAGTGTCCCATACTTGCACTCTCTGAGCACAGACAGAATTTCTATCTATACAGAAAGAGTAAGCCTGGCTCCCACCAGCCAGGGCTAATCAAACACTAGTTCCTGTGCCTCAGAAAGCATTTTCTCCACCTTTGCATGGCTTTGCATTCTCCTGTAATTTCATTCACTTCTCTCCCAATCTCCTCCTACTGAGCAGTGGGAGATAAGTGACACTGGTACTCACAGTTGTTGCTTGCTGCTCCATCTGTGAAGCTCACGTGTCTTTCCTTTGAAACTAAAGACTATCCTCATTAAAAAAATGCATCTCCCTTACCTTACCAACAAGAAAGCTGAGATTGTATAACAGGACAGAGTCTACAGCCTCAGAGTCCTTTGACACAAAAAAAATACACACGCATACACACACAAACATACACATGGAAAGATGCATTAACACATTTAACAGTGACCTTCTCAAGCAGAGCTCTGGAAAATATAACCCAACATTAAAGTTCATGCTATAATTTGGACCTCTAAAGACTGCGGAAAAAAAACTGATTGACATTACATCAGCACCATCACCCTCCACCATCCCCCTTCACACAGGAAATCATCCCACTCCCCACTCCTGGTTCTGTACCTGTGGGTCAGCTAACCGTGAGATATCAGGGTAAAGATAAAACTTGATGCCTTCTGCAGCTCCAGGCAGGGTCACGCCACGGATGAGTAGAACAAGGAGCATGATGAATGGGAACGTGGCAGTGATGTACACTACCTGGAAATAAGAAAAAAAGGCCTGTTTAGTCTGTGGCAGCCAAAGCTCCAGAACCAAGAGAGTTCTAACAATGGGAATTCAAAGCCCGCTCATACCTAAAAAGGGTCTGACCTGGGTTTCTGTGTCTGCCTTTAGTTTAATGGTCTTTAACACGTGATTGCCTTAGGCCTGAAGGCAATGCATGAATCCTTCCAAGGAGCCCAGTCAATGGTCACATCACTCAGACATGATTTTATATGATTCATGACTTTTGTTCAAATTCTGCCTTTGCATAACAAGTACACCTCTGCCAGGGAAGTGAAAAGGTTTACTCACTGAGGGTCCCTGAAATATTATTACCTCATTCTTTGTTGGAACTTTAAAACTTCCAAACGACAAACTGGTTTGCAAGTTCTGCTGCTACCTCTGACCTTGCTGTGCAGCCCCACTGCTGCTCCTACAGTCACCTCCCCAGGAACTGTGTTCAGAGGTGAAGGTAATTTTGTCCGTCCTCCTGTGTCTCCCTTCCTATCCCCTTGAACACATCAAGCCCTTCAGGTTGGCATCAGCCACAACGGTGGTAATTTCCAGTCCTATAACTTCATTCTTGCCCTTGCTGCCTATTCAGCAACATCATTACTGGAAACTAAGGCTCTATTCATCCAGTTTGAAAATATGTCTTCATTATCTTTAACCTCTATTCCCACTCTCTTTGAATAACAGCCTACTTCTTCTCTTCTTGTTATCTCCTCATTCATTTGATGAAAGAGCCCTTTGCTTTCATCTCAAGCACGAGGGTTAATTGAGCTTGCATTTGGACAGTTCTATCTTTAGACCCACACTTTTTGACCTCTAACATTTTGCTTTCTTTGCTCATCACTGCTTTCCTTCATTTTTTTATATAACTGCTGTGCTACAGTCACTACTGTCCAAGAAAGGGCATTTTTCTTGGAGTCAGATGATTCCCCCAGGTAATTACAGTTTGCTGCCATGAGTTAAAATGTATTTTTGTTTTCCAGAATTTGCTTAACTACTGCAAAGCTCCCAGGATGCTCCATTTTTCTTCATAAGTGAGTCCTCTGAGAATAATGAGAACTCAAAGCCTGCATTGCCGTAAAATAATTCACAGAGCAGGGTTGATTTCATTGAGTGAAAGGAAATTTTTTCATACATGCCCTTTTTAATTATCTCTTTGAGTTTTTTGTATATTTTCCACAAATAACATGTATTACACATTAGCCTAGTTTCACCAAAACCATGATAAAAGGAAGATTTCTGCACCTTCTTATTTTTTTTAAATAAGCCAGGACTATGAAAAAATCAAAGTTTTCTTATCAACAACAGAAAAAAAAACCCCAAAAAACTTTGACGTATTTGCAGGAGTTGAATGAACAAAAACCCACAGAGAGGTCTTTGTACTGCAGGTAGAGATTCTCTCACAATGCTGCAGGAATTTTTAAGATCAAGCACATTATCTAAAGCTTAGGCATTACTAATATTTTTCATCATGATTTCATATTTATTTGTCCAAAGCTTTAACTAAAATATTTTAAAACTACATCTTCTCCCCACCCCCACCCTGCTCTCCAAAGAGCCATTAACACACTGGAAAGCAGGGAAGTGCTATAAACAACCCTCTACTAAAGTAAACTCAACTTTTCAAATAATTCAAGTCCTCCATTAGAGTTTACAGTTTACTTTTCTTTGACCCCAAAGTTAATGGAGTCAACCCGAGACTTTCCAATGGTTTTGTTGGTCTTTGGCTGCACACCCACATGAGCTCTGATGCTGCAGAGAGCAGTGAGTGAATTCCTACCAACCACCCTGCTTTAGAAATGAGAAAATTTTGCAGGATTTGCAGAGAACACAGATTTTTAAATATCTGATTTTAACAGACCTGTTTTTAACCTTTTATCTTCATGGGGAATACCACAGGGAGCTTGGAATGCTTTTCTCTGCTACCAGAGCCTTTTCTGAGCAGACACCAGGGTTGTCAAAGGTGCTGCAGAAATGTTCACTTCCACCCTGCTGCTGCAGATTTCCTGCACCCACCTTTAATATAAAACTTGTACAAACTCCTCACTGAGTCACATCAGTCAGAGGGAATAGAGAAACAAACATTTTTGTCAATGTGTGCTTTACAGGTGTGGAAGCTGCTCTTCAGGGGAAATGTGGAGGGAATCCAGATCAAGGCACCAGCTTTTTAATGAGGCTCATTGATAAAAATCACAGAAAGCAAGGTAGGAACTGCAGTAAAGCAAGTGGTTTAGTCAACAGTGGAACTCATGAGGTCTGGCTTCCTACAAAGTTTTGTCTCCTGGTTGATTCTGCAGTGTTCAACAAGCTAAACCTGCTAAATTATGCTCTCTCTGCAGCTGAGGCACTTGGAATGTCTCCCCCTGGCTTCTCTGGGGGCTTATAAAAGATGAGTTCACACTGTGACGCTTTTCTTGGGAGGGGCACTAATGGGGTCACTTCCTTCCACATAGTTGAGAAGAAATGTGGGGAACTTAGTACCTTGAGATCCCTCCTCTTCTGTCAGACTTATCTGAACACTGCCTCCAGGAACACTTTTGAAAGCTAAGAATTACACAAACACAATGGCTCCAAAAACTTATGAAAATAGGTATAAAAACACTACTGAATGCAAGGGGGAAGAGTATTATGCTTCACACCAAGTGACTGACCAAGATGTGCAATGGAGCAGGATGTTCAGGAGTGAGGCAACTGTTATCCTTTACAGGAAAACGTGACTTGAACAGCATGTGATGGGACCAAACCCACAAGCTATGCAGGATCTTTGTGAGTGACAATGCTCCTGAACAAGTACCTAAGTTTAGCCTTGTGTGTCCCCACAGAGCTCTTCCATTAGTGAGTGGCACTTCAAAAATGCTGTGCATCCACAACACCCCCACCACAGCTCTGTTAGCATCCATCCTGCTGCACTGGGATGAACTTGACTGGAGTGAGAACACAGACACAGTGCAGAGCACCACCCACCACAATCCTGAGACCTTCCACACTCATGATATCAGTGGGATGTTCGTCCTCTGAGAGTCGAAGTGGGGCTCAATCTGTGCTTGTTCTGCTTCTTGATGCCCTTCCAGTAGTGGCTACTTGACTCACAGGCATTTTGGACATTGGTAATGACTCTCAAAAGCCAGTTGAATTATCTTACTCATGGAAAAATACAGTTTTTCCAGGAAATGGTGAATATCCTCCAAAACAGCATTACTTAGTATTCCCAATATCTCTAACTGCAATGATATTAGCATGGGTTAAAGAGCACTTACCTTCCCAGTGGATTTGACTCCTTTCCAAATGCAGAAGAAACATATCACCCAGACGAGGAGGAGACACAGTGCTAGATCCCACTTGATAATACCAATATCTTCAATGCCCGAGGACAAGCTCAGCACATTGCGCCTGAGTATTTGAAAGGAAACAAAAGAAGAGAGAGAATGCAGGAGCTCAGTTGATGCAGGCTCTGGTTGTGATGGCTAAGAAGACACAATGGTGTGCAGGGCAGCTGATGCACACACAGATCTCTGCTCTCAAAATGTGCTAAGTCAGTGACTTGTGTGAAAAAAGCTGTGCTTTCCAACCCTACACCTCCCCTATGTCTGTAGGATTCCTTAAATCAATATAATGCACAACATTTAAAAAATGTAAGCTCTTTTTAGGAGCCTATGAACCACCCCAATATGAGATAAAAGAGTATTTGCTTTCTTGAAGATGGAAGACCAGCTTGCCCCAGTGAAGCTGCCTGGCAGTAGTACACACATCTCCATCATTCACCCTTGTAGCTGACCTGTATCCACATGTTTCTGCTCCTTTTCAGTTCATTAGCAAGGCTGCCACGAGGAGGAAAAGGAAAAAGCAGTGCAGGGAAGTGTCAGGTCATTCAGCTTTGCAGGATGAAGGCTGGAGCCATTATCTCTTCTTTCCTTGGGGCCCCCAAACAAACACTGCCCAGGTGCTGCCACCTGCCCTCAGCACCCCAACACTGGGGTCTCATTGAGCCAGCACCAGGTTATTTGGGAATTCTTATTCCCTCACTTAGGTTAATAAATAAAAAGTAATTCCTCAGCTGTGCTTTAAGGGAGCAACATCTGACCATTAAAAGAGCCTGATCCAGAGGGGAAATATTCAGTAACGCTTCTCACTTTTCAAAATTCCCATGGCTTACCATTAAATACTCAATTTAAACTATTTTTCAAATAATTTCATGCAATATACACTGTCTTCACACACTGCACAGGCCTTGTCATACTCAACACTTAATTTGTCAAATATGTAAAAGAACAAACTGTTTCTTACTGTTCACTGAGCTAAAACTCTGCAAATGAACCTAGAAAACTCTGCAAGGTTTTTTTAGTCAAAGAAAATTTTTTACCTCAATTACCACATAAATACTTGCCCCAAGACAACAGGAGTGAACTTGCTACCTAATAATTTTTTTTATTAATTATTAGTAAAAATTTACTTTCAGACAGCTGTACAAGTCAGGCACTTTCATTCACCAGAGTCACAGAGAGCAGAGCCCAGAGCAGTCTGGGTCAGGCCCATGTGTGTGGCATGCACAGCTTTGCATGGGGATCCAGTACAAGACAGACAGTGGTGGTTTGGTTTTCCCCTGAACTAATGAATTTTTTTTTTTTTTTTTTTTTTGCTATTACCATGGAAATAAAAGTGAATGAAGTCACTGATGGAAAATCTGCAATTAGTTTTTGGAAAAAGCCCTGGAGTGACCAGTTTAATATGACTCAAACCCTTGCCCATCTGTTTTTTTGTCTCTGTTTGCCAAACTCACTTGGATTACCTGTGCGACCGTGTTCTCACACCAAATGCTTTCTTCTCTCTGAATGTTTGTGTATTTTGTTATGAAAAAGGACTAATGGCACCAGACAGGGTAAGTCTGCCCTAATCACCACAGCTATTCAATACTTATGAGAACCCCTTCAGTAATGAATATTTGGCATAAAGTTGCAGTCTTGCTTCACCTGAGCCTAAAGAAACAAAGGAAAAACCTGCTGTGCATATACAAAAGCAGAAAATACATTTATAAGATGAAAAAGTTCAGCCGCAACTTTCTATGCCTTTTTTAAAAATAAAAGGCAATTTTCCAGTCAAAGGGGCAGTTCTTATTAAAAAGGCAATCTATAGAGTTGGCTCTTGGGAAACAGTGAATAATTAACTGCAAATGCCTTCTGGAATAGAGAGCTTTATAAATGCATTCAGCTAAGACTTCTTTGCTTTTTACTGTGGAACTAAAACCAAGTGGTCATCTTTCCTAGAGTTTGCCACAGCAATTCTTTCAAGATTTTTTGGAAGATACCCCAGTGGGTGACTGAGAGACAGACACCTTGCTTTTCCATGCTTTTCTTACTTATCCCATCTCACAAAGACTGACTTCCTCAAGGAATATGCTCAGAATCACTAGGGGAGCTTCAGCATTACAATTGTTTTGTGACTTCTCTCCCTGTATATTTTTGCAGAAGCACTCAACCTGGATTTTTGACCCTGTAAATTCAAGTTCAGGAAGGAGCATGATCTGGGCTGCGCTAATTACTCTTCAATTTTGTTACATAACTCCCATGCTACTGAGATTCAGCCAAGCCCACTCAGCTGCCTTCACACCACACACACAGAATTGTTAGTCATTCAGATTTATAGTCGGATGCTGTCATTAACTGTCACTCATACATAATCAATGGGACAACAGGCTGGGGCTGAGTTTGTTATAAACAGGAGTTCTTGACCCTTGAACACTAATATGTTCTAGTGTGTGCAATATGGAAATGTAACAGGAGCTGTAACTGGCTCTACAACATAAACAAAAATAAAATGAAGAGTGTTATGCAATCCTTGGGGGATATTCCAGCTCATTAATCAAGTGAATGCAGATAAGACCTTTCAAACCAGGAAAGGTGAAGCACCCTTTCATGTTGGATGGACAAGAATAATTAACACTGAAGAGATTGTACAGAAGAATATTAAAAACAGAACATTACATGATTTTAAAAACTCTCACGTTTGCTCTTAAAGGCAGAGACAGCTGCTCTGGATTTTGTTTAGTTTTTTGTGTTGCTCCCTTTAGGATTACATGCCATTAGCATGTGATGGTCTTTCTTGGGATTTGGACAAATAAAGTCTGCTGATTACCAAATATTTATAAACACTTGGCCAGCACCAGACAATCAGAGGTTTTGTTCAACCCTAATTACCCTATTACACTTATCCCTTATGTATTAATATGTGTGTAAGACTAAGGTGTCTAAAGTCTTCAGAAATAAGACCCAAAGCATGTGATACCAAGAGGTAAGTCTCCTGATAAAAAGCCTGATTTTCTTAACCCCCTTTTATTGCTGCTCAAGCAAGCATGTGATTTGCACAAAACATTAATTCAAATGAACTGAAATGTCAGGCTGCACTATATATCCAGCCAGACCGAGAAGTTCAATGTGACGAGGTTAATGCATCTATGTGGTCAATTATACCTGGGCAGCACTGGTTTTACAAAGCAGTACTGATGAGGACACTATATAAATGTCCCACAATAAAAATGGCATTTGGTTTCAGAAACCAAATACTCACAAACCTCTGAATTAAACTGGAATGAATTGTGCCACAAAGCAGATGGATATCTTCAGTTAAAGACTAATTATTTACCTGTCCTTTCCATGTTGGTAGCTGGCTGGCTGGCAGCCAGTATTGTCTGTGGCAGCATGGTACCTGAAAGTCCTTCAAACTATTTCTAATTTCAGAATTATAAAGAATAGTAGCATGTCGGGGGGAAAAAAATGGGGATATTCAGTGCTTGCACCATGTGAAAGCTATGCTACTTTTATTACAACAGCGCTGCATGATCTCTGCTCTTACTTTAAGACATCAATAGTTATTTATGCAGAGACAGCAGCTATTTTTAATAGTCCTCTAAGTGTCATGACTCCTGGAGGCAGCTTGCTCGGTTAAGGGCAGTTTTGCTCATGATGAAACTGAATTATGGGCAGTATATCTGTCCTAGTAGGATTACAAAGCCAAACTCCTCCCTAGCAAGACTCTGGGGAAGAGTTCAGCTTACAGTGTCTAAAACTGTTGAGGACACAAGTTAAAGTGGCTGCAAAGTGGAGGGAGAGCTTTGCTCCAACTCTGCTACAGGCACAGAGAGGGCACAGCAGAGGACAACAAAGTGTGTGAGGATCAAGGATTTGCTGTCCAGCTCAGGCTCCTCCAGCCTGACTACATCTACAGGAGGATTTGGCTCAACTTGCAGAGGAGTCTTCTGACTTGGTTTCCCTTAGAGGGAAGTTAACTAAAAGCTCCATCACTAACATGGGGATATCATTCCCCTTACCTTGTCTGCCCTGCCACAACACCCTTTATCAAACACCTGCTGTGCTGTGACCACAGAGAGCTCTGCTGCTCCCCAGGGTGCTGGAACTCTCACTCTTTTATAATCCCTTTCGCAGCTCTTAGCCCTTTTCCTTTCTGTTGTGGTACCTTCAGTCACCTGAAGTGAACATGCTGCCTGGGGACCCCAGGGAGACAGTCTGGCCCACAGATCTGTGCAGTACAAGGAGCAGGAGCTTCCAGAGCAGCAGGACAATTCCATGGCTACATCAGGAGCCCCCAAGCTCACAGGTGCCCCAGGTACAAGGGGACTGTCTGCAAAATCACTGCACAGAAGCAATGATGAACACAGTGGGAGATTTTGGAAGTCTGGGGGAGCAACTATTGCAGGGGCAGCACTGTGGACCTCTGCCTCCTTGGGAGGCCTTGAGAAGACCTTGGAACACATGACCAAACCAGCCACTCATTTTGATTCAAGGCTTTCAGTCTGAAGCCATTGTGGGAGAGTCCAAAGGAGTGAGAGCCGCTTCCCCTTCTACTGCAACTTGCCTCTCAGTTCCCCCAAAATATCCAAAGGTACCACTTAACAATCGTTTTCCAACTTTCTCCATATTTAAAAGGGAGGAAATCACCCGGGAAAGCAGCTGCCCCTCAACATGGAAACACAGAGCTCATGGTGAAAATGCTGCTCTCAGAGCCTGCACCCTGTCTCTCACACCAGCCACCAGAGCCTTTTGACAAACTACCACTCCCAGATTCGATCTGCCCCTTTATATTTTGGCTCTCGTGTTACAAATTTTAGCACAGCTCCTAAGACTATTTTTTCCTAAACCTAATGCATGCCAAACATCTTCAGCACAAACACGATTCCTGCTGGGGCTTTGGATGATGCTTATTTTTAAAAATAGAGAAGTAGGTACAAGTTGATCAGAGATGAAACTGCACTTTAAACATGCTGAAAAAGCTAAGCAAGGCCAGAAACTGATTCTACCCATAAGTGACTATCTGAGCAAGCAAGCAAAAAAAAAAAAAAATTAATAAACTATTTGAAGATACTTTGGATTTAGGTTTCCCTACAGGTGTCTTCCTCTGCTGCTGTTTTGACACTTATATAAACACAGAGAGTTTTGAGGTCATGCCTGTTCAGAGATCATGTTATGCAATATGATTTAAAACTTGAAAAATAACAGAGAAATGAGAATAAGAAGCTTATGACTGATGAAATTCAGGCATCTGGCAAAACAGCCTCCTCAGAGACTGCAGAAAAAAACGTTGTAACAGAGGTGACCTGAGAAACCTGGAATACAGGACAACGTTCACCACCTCTGTCAGATTTATTACTGAAGTCAAAACCTTACATTGTTGTCAGCCTGAAGAGAGATGTGTTATAGCTTCACAAAGTGTACTTCAAATGCTAACAGCTGGGGAAGAGATAACCACAAAGGTGATGATTTGTCACTGTTTTCACTGTAAATCCCTGCTATCAGGGCATCTGCAGTGACTTGTTTGTGTTCTCCTGCCACACTCAAGAGAATCCAGCCAAGAAGGAAATAAGTTTTCTTCCAAAGAAGAAGCTGTACTGGGCTTTTAAAGCTCCCTGTGTAGACTAGGATAAATACACTTACACATCTATCATCTGCCTCCACCACTCCCAGACTTACCAGTCTGTCTCAAGATAGGTGAGAACCAGCAGCAAACACTGGTCAAAAAACTGATACCCAGATCAATTTTCTTTTCCTATCTAACACTCCCCATTGGGCTTCCATAAAATCTCAGGACCGACCTCTGGCATGCCACTGAAAGCTCCCTGAAGACACCATGAAGAGGGGGTACTTACTCCCAAAACTCTGTGACAGGAGAGGTGAAGTTAGTGGCATTCAGTGATATCCAGAGTGTTTTGTTCTTCCTGAGAGTGTCTTCCACACAGGTCGGCGTGTTCCACTTCTGGTGGCAGTGTGCCCATGGCAGGACACTCTGGAACGACTGGAACAGGTAGTAGAGTCCCCAGGCCAGGATCACGATGTAGTACACATTCAAAAGGGACACAATCACTATGGAAGCATAACCAATTCCTGGAAAGAAGGGGAGAGAAAAGAAAAACGTGCAGATGTGACAGCTGCTGCACCTTGTGATCTTCTGGGGCTGGTGCCATTCCCACTGTGTATTCTGTAGGCTTGTATCCTACCCTGCCCTCCTGCTGATGGAAACTCAGCTCAAACACACATAAGCACAGACCTGCCACCATCTCTGGCACTCAGGGCTGAGTTTGCTGGCTATGGTTGCTGACACTGAGGGGAGGACTGCAAGAATCTTCTCAATTTAACACTAACCCAGCTATTTCAAGTTTTAGTAGAGGGAAGTCAAGGCACCAGGTTTTGCTTGTTGGTTGCACTATTGTCACCATTGAGTCAGGAACAAATGACACAGACTCAGAGCAGAAGGCTAGAGGCAAAAAGCCCCACATTTATTCTGACCTCTTCTTTTAGACACTGGTCTGCAGCAGGTGGACCTGATTGATCATTTAATCACATTTCACATGAATGGCTAATTAAGAAGACACCCACCAGTCAACAACTTTATGAGAAAACAACTTGTTATAAATACCACCTTCAGATTGGTTACTATTTGATTATCATTTTCTATCTCCAGCTTCCTAAAGCTTCCCAGACCGATTCATGGGAAAACTTATTAAGCTTTTTCTCTCTCTGACCACACCATCTCACTTCTTAGGCACCTATGTGGGCAACCTCATCCTTGCCACACTGTCCCCCAAGCCAGCTTTCCTGGCAGCAGCTCAGCTGGACAGCATCTCCACCACTCAGTTATCAACTGGCTGGACTCAGTCTATGTGGGGGAAAAAAAAGACTTTTCTTGAATCAGTTAAAAAGCTATCTGTGTGAAAGTGGTGGTTTCTGCCTCAATTTCACTTGTGCAAAGGAAGCATAGTATTTGTGGATCTTATGGTTACCTGGATCAATCTCTGTTTGCACAGTCGGCCAGTTAGGAACCACAAGCAAAATAAAAATACTTCCTTTAAAAATTTAGAGCTGTCCCTTACAAGAACCTGTGAGGCTCCCTTTAATATCACTCTGATGGATATTCCAGCACTTGGGATACCTGTCTCATATTTTTCAGTTTAAAACCTTGTTGCAGCAGCAGTCTTTATCACCAGAGACTATTTTCATGTCAGATGGAAACAAGCAGATCAAGTGCTATTTATTCTGTACATCTGCATTTCTTTCAGCATATACAGCTAGTCACATTAGCTACACTTTCTTTTTATGGATGCCTAGGAGATTGCTATCTAAACAAGGAACATTCCTTCTTCCTCCTCCTCCTCTTCAAAAAAAAAAAAAAAGTTTTCACAAAAGTGGGAGGAGGAGGAAGAAAATTAAGCTAAAGCAGCACAATTACATCACCCTCAGCAGCATTTTGAGTACTAGGTGGGAGGGTGAGCCTCAGAGAAAACCCCCACTTCTGCCTGGGGTGACATCAGGGGAGAGAGATGCCTGGAACAGCAACAGTGGCAGAGCTAGAGACACGCCAGTGTGAAGTGCCCACTCTTTCCAAATGGGATTTGAACAGGGCCACAATAGTGTAGTTATTTCAAATTATTCTGCCTGTGCTGTCCAGATGTAAAGGGCAATCTACACCCAAGACAGGCATTCTCTGTCATTTTTCTAACCCTTCATTTTTCCTTCTCTTTAACTTCCAGAGCAGCCTTCACACCGTTCCTGTGAGCACTGAGCAGGCAAAGGCCCTTTGATAATATCAGACTAACATTTGCCAGGACCTGCTCAGTTATGACCAAAGCCCTGTTCTTGAATCCCACCAAAAAATGCTGCCCAGGTTTTGACTGCTTCAGTAGCAGACAGATGATGCCAATGAGAAACTTTCACATGGAAGATGGATTTTGATTTCCAGACTAAAATAACATTTCAAAGATGGTTTCCTTAATGCCATCTAGCCTTCTATGACAACACTTTCTCTGATACATGTAAACAAAATGTGCAATTGCCTTAAAAGGCATAATATGCAATTTCTTTCTTGGTTATTGGCAGTTTTGCCCGTTAACAAGCTGATAGCATCAAAATCAATACCTCATTTTGTCCTTCAGACTCTCTGACTTCTACCTTTCCAGGAACCAATATCATATCCTTAATTACTAGAGCGAACAGCTGAGTTAATGGACATGAGGGGAATGGTGCTGCTACATATGGTTTGCAGAGGGGTCTTTAGGCAGTAAAGCACAACAAGATGTACTGACCAGTGAAAATAGGGCAGATCTTTTCCCAGCATGTAATTCCACCTTCGGAGGTATACTGTCCTAGCACCACCTCCAGGAAAAACACGGGAAGACCTCCCCCAAACAGGAAAATGAAATAAGGTATAAGAAATGCACCTGTTGAGAAAATACAATAGTAGATAATGAGATTAAATGATAGAATTTACACAAGATAATCAAAAAAGTGACAACAGGCAAATATAAACAAAGATATTTGTTTATACTTTAATATCACTATGTAATAATCTTATTCTGGGGTATTTTTGTTCATTTTTTCTGCTAAAAGGATGAAAGGGCATTTTCTTACCTCTTTAAAGTGAATATCTCCAATAACAATGGCAGATTGTTAGGCACACAATACTTTGACAAGGCTCAAACTGCTCTTATTCTGAAATCCCCTGGTCTGAAATCCTAATGGTCTATATTAATAGTATATCTTTTAGTTAAAACTCAGACTCAGTTGTAGCAGAAGTAAAAGAGCAGGAAAGTTCCAACAGCACAACATTTGAAATTCCTGGAATTTTTTCCCTAATAAAATTTTAATAAAAACTATTCAGTGATGAAACAATCTCTCCAGAAGACTGGTGAGGGAGGCAGAAAACACAGGTATGAACAGGTTTCTTAAAAACTGGATGAAAGCACTGAAAAGTAGTGAGCATAGGGCAGACAGAGCGATTCCCGAGCGTGGAATGGAAACTCACCTCCGCCGTTTTTGTAGCAGAGATACGGGAACCGCCAGACGTTGCCTAAACCGATGAATCCCCCTGCCACGGACAGCAGGAAGTCGATCTTGCTCGCCCACTTCTCCCGCTGGGGTGGCTTTCCCTCAGCCTCATCCTCAGGCCGTGTCCCCGGGCTCTTGCCAGGGGAAGGTTTGAGGATGTCCTTGTGGAAATCTTTCAAGCACTGAAGCTTTTCCTTTGTTGCCATATTTCTGCTTTCTACACAGAAAAAGAAAAAAAAGTAAAGAGGGGTTTACTAAACAGTCTTCTCCAGCTGAGCTCTCTAACACTGCAAGAAATGCTTAGCCAAACTCATTCCGTACAAAACAGTGTTGTTTATTAAGCTGAACGGGGAAAATACTTGTGATGACTTCACTGACCAGGAGAGGCAAAGTCCCCCTGAGTGCGTGGTCACCTCTGAGCAGGCAGAGCAGTGTGAAGCCCTGGCACTGCTCGCTGCTGGCCTGCTGCCCGCAGGGAAGGGGCGCCCCAGCAGCGCTCCCCGTGCCGCCTCCTGCACGTGGTGCCCCGGACACTGCTGCTTCCATGCCCAAAATAAAGTACAAATCACTGCATCTGGTTCCTTCTAGAACATTTATGTGAAGTACGGAATAGTAAATCTCACCTTTCCAGATAAAAGCCATTCTTCTACTACCCCATAGCTTGAGCGATCCTGTATTATTTATTGCCTGCAATTTCCATTCCCTGAAGTACTATAAACCTTTCAGAAAACTATACATTCATAAAAACTGCGATGGAAAGTCATTTGTTCTAATCAGCCTGCAGGAACTGAAGGAATCTTTTCAGTTTATTCCATTTTCATAACTGCACTGTTTTCCCTTGACATCAATAAAGGGACAAAAATAAGCCTTTATATTCAATTATTGTGAAATGCACACCTATGCAATGGAACAGTTTGCTGAGAATGATGGCCCCTTAGTTAATTAAAAAGTCAGTGGCATGGACCATATTAAATCATAGCTGATTTAATAATTTATATATATAATTTATTATCAAAACCATAGACATTCAAAAATAATAGCAGAAAGAATTATTCTAGCAAGCGCCTTTTAACTAAGATTTTCTAATGAAAACAATTCAGGAGTAACTTGTAGCTTTTATGTTAACTGAGATGTCAGGCATATGTGGCCAATTAAGTCCCCACATAACTCAAGTGACTTCAGCTGGATCTGACCAGTTATTTTTGCATAGTATGTTGACACTGAAATTATCACCAGAACCAGGCAAACCAGCAAGTTTGTTCCAGATCACAACCACTCACTACTTATACGTGTTATTATGAGTATAGTCATAAAAAATATCATGCTGCAGATTATCCTGTTTGATAGCTGCCAGCCTCCCCTGTACCTGACTGAGCTCGTGGCAGTGACCCGAAGATTAAACTGACATTAGCTCTGCAGGAAGTTTTTAACCTGAACATGATTTGAGATAGATATGATTCACTGTACCTGCAATGCTTTCCACTCACCACGGAAAGTTTCAGAGGGCTAACTCTGCCACAAACCACAGCAGCTCCACATCACCCCTCTGGCACACTGGTGGACTTTGCAAAGCAGGCACTGTGACAGCAGCTGCCTATCAGGCCATGATCTAAAAAGGGACTTTAATCTCCACAACGTTAATCATTATGACTTTCTACTGGTTTTTAAACAAGGCCACTGGTGAGTGCGCTGGTGACACGAGCACTGCAATACCTCGTGACCAACAGCAGAGAGAGCTCACAGAAGGAGAAAGTGAATCACAGGGTGATGGACCATCAACCTGGCAGGGGGATGAAGGCAGGATATATTCCACCAAAATATCTCCTGTAGGTCACTGTTAGAGACATGGTATGAAATAAAGCAGTAATGGAATAAAAATGGTAGGGCCAGCTCTGTAACAGTCTTTGGGAACTTAGTTGCTTTTGGGCTTAATTCACAATAGCTAGCTTGAGTAGCATGAATGGAGAATAATGGAGGTGCCTCTAAAATGGATTCACAGCAGCCTTAACATCCCTGAGACATCTGCATCTCACAGCATGCTCCAAACAGGCACCATCCTGCATAAACTCCTGGAGTCCTTTCTTGAGGGAGAAAAAAAGTGGACATAACTGCTTTTCTTCAAAGAGGTGGTTGTTGTCCTGCTCCCCCTGCAACAACTACCAGGTATGGAGAAAGCTCATTTTTGCTTTCATTTCCTATTTGTGCTCCTTGAATCCCTATCTTTCATCTTGCTGGAGCGTGTCATAACCATCAGGCAACAGGCTATTCTGGGCTGAGGAATGGAGGGCATTTGGATCGTCTCATGGAAGCTGTTCTTCACATGGGTTATTGAAACACTCATCAGCAGTGTGGAAAGAGAGAGGCTCACACCCAGTGTTTAGAGTATGCTCTTTTTTCCACACAGTTTTTTGGTGAAATGGTGGGACAGCCATAAACCTGCTTAAGAGGGCACAGAGATATATAGATTTCTAGATCCCTGCAGGATTAGGTTTGTAATAGAAGCTTAACTGCTCCCTGTGGAGACTGGGAGTCTCCCGAAACAGAACCTGGGAACACAGGCTCCCCTTATGTAAAAAAACCTAAGGAGACCTACAGCATTAGCCACCTCTAAGATCAAAAACTCTTCAGGATTGCAGTTTTTTTCAATCTACTTTTATCTCGTGACACAGAGTTCTTTATTTTTCCACCAGCTCTAATCCTCTTGCCTGTGGATTTACTTTGACCCAGGTGTTAGTCAGTTCTACCCAGAGTTTGGAAAGCTGACCAGTTGATTGCATTCTGCAAACCCCAACTCTCCCTGGGACAAGGTGATCACCCTATGGTTTGTCCCAATTAGCTGCACACAAAATGTGAAGTGGTGCCTTTCCTGACTCTTTCTTTGTAACTGAGTGGAACTGCATTATAAAAAGGGATTTCTAGTTTGTCTCATGATACCCCAAATTAATGGCTGTGCGTGAAAACCTAATTACTAAGTGTAAATTATGCTTCAGCCTGAGCTGGAGCGTGATGACAGATCGTGATCTCTCCCTTAGCCCACGAACCCTCAAAGTCATGCTTGCTTTTGGGGTCATTTCACTGTATGGGTGGCAGGAGATGAGCCACCACAACTTTGCTGCAAGTCACCAGCTCTCAATAGAGGGGCACACTACCTATCCAAGGCTTGCACAAAATTAGTAACAGCCCAGCTTTATTGTGTACAGACTTGCTAAAATCCCAGTTGTGTCTGGAGGACCGGCAGCTGTGGCTGGCAGGCACGTACGGTCCAGCGGTACCACAGGAACTGCCACTAAGCGGCCACCTGGGACTGTGCTCCCAGCCCATGTCACGTTCAAGGGATGTCGGATTTGTCCCCCTTTGCTGCCAACCATTGGTGTCCACCCAGCCATTCCCAATTACAGGAACTGTCTACAAAGGCTGCAAGGGTGGGGGGTACGGGCGATTCTCCCTGGTGAAGAAAAGCCAAGAAAAGTAAGTTTGTTTAGTGAAAGGCATTGTCTTTTTCCTTAATGGGGTTGGAGTTTCATTTCCTTTAGCTATGTCCCACTGGGTGAGGCTAAAATGGCTCTTAAGGGAAATAGTCTGACAGAGATGCTGAAACAATATGTTGTCACCGCCCAGGTCAGAACCAGAGAATAATAGGTTATTTTTACTGTATCACTTAGTGGGGATGGTATCCGAGATCTAAGTCCATCAGATTCCCCCAAGGAAATATATTGTGAAAAAATGCTCTTACAACCACATAGTCCAAAAGGAGTGATCCAAGTTTGAGGCATATGTCTTGCCTCCCGGAGACACACGTCTGCCTTCCAGGAGCCACATCTGACTGTGAGAGTATCCCCTCCAGAAAGCTTCAGATGGCCCCAGGAAGCTTTGGCTTCATCTGATGAACTCAATATGGATAAATAAAAAGCATCAGTCAAGCCTGCTATTTATGGTGTGCCCCTAGGCTGAGCCCAGTCACACTGCAAGAGCCTGATCTGATAGCAAGGGGAGAAAAAATCCAGACTGGGGAAGGCCCAGAACTGCTCTGACATATAGACTGGTACAAACCCTCATTAACTGAGGACGGAGTAATCAATTATCAAATTGATACTGGCAAAATATGGAAAAATAGAACAAGGGATCGAGCACGGACACTTTGCACTTCTCAAGTACCTGCCTGCTGGTGCAGCCAGGAGACCCTTCCACAGGAGGGTCATGTGTCTGTGCCTTGCACAAATTTCCTCAGGTGAAATACCCTGCAATAACCAGGCACTCTTGCTGACCCCCATGACTGATCAATCTTTGATACCCAGGTGAAAATACTTCCATAAGAAGAGTGTTTTCACAGCCAGCTTGGCTTGGGCCATCCCCCGGGCTACAGCTATCAGATCTTCACATGTAGAGTCTGCACCTCAGATAACCCATACCCTTTAAAAAAATACTGGCATTGAAATGTAGTCCCTCATAACATGCAAAAAAATGAGGGGTAGAGGAAGGGGGAGGCGCTGCACAGAGGGGGCAGCAATGCCCATGAGGGGAGGCTGCCAGCACAGCCAGGATCTACTGGCTGTCAAAACAGACACAACTCCCAGTACTGTAGAACCATTGATTTCTTTTTTACAGACAACGCATTACACATCTGATTATAGATGAGATTACACATCTGAAAATACAGTGTATTCAGTTTTTGCTTTGGGATTACAGTAATGATCCGCTCCAAGCTTCTTACAGCTGAAGACAAGTGACCAAAGCACAGCAACGCCTTCCAGGAGGAGCCTCCAGGACAAGCACATCATGGATGCCACCTCATTTAATAGTCACTAAAAATCAAATCTTCAGACAGTGCTTTTCCAAATGCTGATGGAAATGGGAAAATCAAAGTCTGGCCATAGACACAGATATGTGTTTGTAAATATTTACACATGCTAAAATGCATGCCCTGTCTTGCACCTAAACACCAGAAACCACAGCAAAGCAATACTTCTTTTCTGGCCAATGTATATAAACTTTGATTAAAGATTCAGCATGCTAAATTGTTGACTAGAGTGATAACTAAGTAGGTTTTTTCCTAGCTTCTTTCTGTTAGAAAACTAAAAGCAAAGTACACATTCAGAGTGTCTTTCACCATGATGGGACTGTTGCTTGAAGAATGACTGTATGGCTGTACCACTGATTTTATGGACTATTTTTGCAGTATGATGTGTATCATCATTACTTCTGCTTTCAAGGACCCTT